AACCAACCCGTTAAGCATAGTTCTATCCAAAGAAGCATTGCAAAATTCAAGACAGCAAATGGGCCTCAGATGAAAGGAACTGTACAGACTGTGGTAGGAGACATTTTCACCCAGATGGGTTTGAGAGCACACACACACACATGGGCGTAGCCGGGGGTGCAGCTGCCCCCCAAAATCAATAAAAATCAGTAAAATACATAGCAAACTGAGATTCTGCCCGCCCCCCCAATAAAAGGCCTGCCCCACAAAAAATCCTGGCTACGCCCATGCACACGCACACACAAGATTTGTGTGGAATGCAGAGACAAACACATAAAACATATTGTGACCTTCTGCTTGCTTGCTTTTTTTTTTTAAAGGAGTTTCAGAACTTTGTGGCTTCCAATAAATTTATGTTATTATTAAGGAGCCTATTCAGTTCAACCCACAACTTGTATCTTTAACCTTGTTTGAATGTACTAAGAACGACACACAATCCAAAGATCTTTTAATGTATTTATTGTTGGCCGTGTGCCACTCAATTGTACAAAAATGGAAAAACTTTTTTTCTGATCTTATTTCTTCATGGTTGAACAATATATGGACTCTTGTATCGCCAGAAAAGAGAGCCTGCCGTTTTAGAGCCCTTAATGGTACCACAAATTTGGACTCCTTTTCACATGATATGCTGGGACTTTATTTCACAGATTAATGCTGAGCAACTGCAACAGATATTACCAACTGCCTCTTTGGACATATGGAATATATAACTCCTGCCTTGGGATCGATACTAACACCTTTAGTATCTGTATTGTTAACTTATTCATTGTGTTTGCATCAATATCAAGACTGGTTCCTGTTATATCCATTTATTTTTCTGCTCTTTCTGTCTTTATGAGTATGATTATGTTTGTTCCTTGCAGAAAAACCAGTGCAATGTTTTTCTGAACAAGGAAGAAAAATCTGAAATTATTGTATTGGCGGGGACTTTCTGGGAAACACACAAAAGAGCAGACACCCAGAGCGAGTGAGACCATAAAGAAAATAAGCTTGGGGAAAGTTCCCATAGCAGCGGGGGACCCAATTTACAAATGGAACGCACTCAACAGGAAGTGAAACATGTTCTGCTTCCAAGGCAAAATTCACAAACCAAAACACCAATTTCCGGGTTTGCAACATTCTTAATCCAAGTTGTTCATAAACTAAGCTGTTCTTAAACCAAGGTTACCACTATACAGATCTTTCCAAGTGCCTTTTTCAGAGATTTTGACTGGGCTTGTCAGGCTTCTCTTTGAAATCACATGAGACTTGTTGAAGACTGGGGCCAAGAGAAGAATGATAGCCTGGCTGGTTCTTGGGGATCCTAGCAGACAAACCTGTTGAGAGATCTCTGCAGGTAGCAAACTTGTTTCCAGGCTGATGCTTATACACAGTAGTACCTCAGGTTACAGACGCTTCAGGTTACAGACTCCGCTAACCCAGAAATAGTACCTCGGGTTAAGAACTTTGCTTCAGAATGAGAACAGAAATCGTGCTCCGGCGGCGTGGCGGCAGCAGGAGGCCCCATTAGCTAAAGTGGTACCTCAGGTTAAGAACAGTTTCAGGTTAAGAACGGGATTCCAGAACGAACTAAGTTCTTAACCCGAGGTACCACTGTATGTTAAACAAATGTTTTAAGTGCAGCACAAATGACTTAATAAATAGCATGCTTGCCATGATGGCTACTTTCTGCAACCAGCGTTGCAGGCCGTATGTCTCTGAATCCCAGCTGCTGGGAATCTTGGATGGGGAGATTCTTGCTGTGCTCAGGCCCTGATTGTGGGCTGGACAATGGGCATCCGACTGGCCACTGTGGGAAAAGAGTGCTGGGTGATATGGGCCTTTAGCCGGATCCAGCAAGGATCTTCTCATGTTCTTGAGGACTGATAGTACTGAGTGTGCTTTATCAACTCCAGCAGCTGCAACCTGTTGTAAACAGAGATACCCCGGCCACAGTTATCTGTGTTCTGGTAGCTTCCTATTTGGACTACGAAGGGCTGAAAAACTGGAAGCGTTAGTTATACTGCAGAACACAGCAGCCATGATTTTACTGGCACCGCTCACACAGGTCATATCTTGCCAGAAATTTCGCTGGCTGCTCTTCTCTATTCTCTTCCAACCCTAATTAAAAAGTGCAGGTGCTCACATTTGATGCCCTAAATGGCTTGGGACCAGAGCATTTCAAGGCGTGCCTCCTCCCATAACAAACTTCCTAAGGGAAGGCCTACCCTGTGTGGGATTGCACTCCCTCTGAAGGAGCAGATACATAGTTTTGTGGGGCAGGGTTCTGAGTCCATCTCTGTCCCAGGAAGCCCAGGCAGCCTTTGTGGCTAGAAGGACCTTCTACCTGCTGCAACCGACGCAACAGCTGTGGCCATTCCTGGGCCAGGGAAGCTTGACCACAGTAATGCAGGCAATGGTGACTTCGAGTCTGGATTACTGTAACACCACTCTTATGTTTGGGTTCCCTTGTGCTTCAGCCAGAAGCTGCAGTTAGTGCAGAATGCTGCAGCACAGTTGCTGACAGGAATGAGACCCTGTCAGCACAGAAGACCTCTGCTCAGAAATCTGAACTGGTTTGAGATTTGCTACCAAGCCAAGTTCAAGGTGTTACTGTTAGTATAGAAAGCCAAAACAGCTTGGGACCAATTTGTTTGTGGGATCGTGTAACCCTCATGGTGGATTTGATTTAAATCAAATCGATTTAAATCATGATTTAAATCACTAGTCAGTAAGACTTGATTTAAATCATTTATTTATTTTTACAGAAAGAGTCATTATTGCTGGTATAATCTTAATTTTTACAACCAGATGAAGGTTTCATTTTTGGAATAACAAATTTTCAGAGTAGTTTTTACAGTTATATCAAAAATTACTGATTTGGCTATACTATTAGAAATACATAGACAGATAATTATGAAATTATTGAGAGGTTTACTAAGCTAACTGTTTATATTTGGACAACTTTTCTGCTGTACTTTATTGGAAGGAGAAAAATAATCATTTCCTTAATAACAATTTAAACAATTTATTTAACTAAAACAATAACATTATAGCATATGTATCCATGTTTGTTAGGGATGTGGGTGGCGCTGTGGTCTAAACCACAGAGCCTAGGGCTTGCCAATCAGAAGGTCGGCGGTTCGAATCCCCACAACGAGGTGTGCTCCTGTTGTTCAGTCCCAGTTCCTGCCCACCTAGAAGTCCAAAAGCACATCAAAGTCCAAGTAGATAAATAGGTACCACTCCGGCGTGAAGGTAAACGGCGTTTCCGTGCAATGCTCTGGTTCACCAGAAGCTGTACGCCGGCTCCCATGACCAGTAAAGCGAGATGAGCACCGCAACCCCAGAGTCGTCCATGACTGGACCTAATGGTTGGGGTCCCTTTACCTTTATCCATGTTTGTTAACTGATGCAGTTAAATGGCTTTTTTAAAAAAGAAAAAGAAAACGTAGACTGAGTTTTAGCACACATGAAAAACTTAAAACAAATCCTTATTTCCTGATGAATAGCCTTTGGACTATAATGTAACTTAAATAGAAAACTATCTTTAGAAAGATGTTTCCTCCGCAAGCATTTTATTTAAAAAATCCAATTTAAATTTTTTAAATCCATTTTTTAAAAAAAAAAAAATCATTAATTTTTATCCACCCTGGTTACCCCACATATGCCCATTCAACCACTCCAATCTAAGGAACTGGCACTCTTAGAGAGGTGCCACATAATGCTCATTCCGCAGTTGTAAAAAAACTTATATTTTAGTGTGGAACTACCTATGCTTTGGAACCCCCTGCCCAGTGACACCAAGAAGACACCTTTGCTTTAAAACCTTTAAATTAAAACCATTTGAACAAATTAAAGATAAAGTGAATTGGTTGCAATATTATCAAATTAACGAATTATATAAGATGGATAAGAGAAATGGTTTTGCAACAGAAAAAACCAAATTGGAAACGGAGTTGTTAGATACTAATGATAAGAATATGTCTAAAATGTACAGCTTGTTGTTGGAGTGAGCTACAAAGGATGAAATCGGTCATGATTGATTGGCCAAGTTAAATCGGTCATGATTGACTGGGCAAGGGATGTGGGACATAATATAATGATGGAGGACTGGGAGAGGCTATGGAGGAAAGGGGTTAAGTTCACTGCATGTACGATGTTAAAGGAAAACATTATGAAGATGATGTATAGATGGTACTTGACCCCTGTAAAATTAGCAAAGATTTATCACAAAAGTGATAATCTTTGTTGGAAATGTAAAAAAAAAGAAGGTACTTTTTCCATATGTTGTGGACTTGTCCCAAGGTGAAAGACTTCTGGGAGAAGATTTATAATGAACTGAAAAAAATGTTGAACTATACATTTATTAAGAAACCAGAGGCCTTTCTCCTTGGAATAACAGGTTTAGAATTGCCCAAGAAAGATGTTAAATTATTTTTGTATGCCACAACGGCCGCTCGAATATTACTTGCTAAAAATTGGAAAACACAAGAACTACCAACAGTGGAAGATTGGCAGATGAAGATGATGGACTTTCCGGAGCTAGCTGACCTGACTGGAAGAATCCGCGACTAGAAAGAAGAGGAGTTTCAAGAGGACTGGAGGAAATTCAAGGACTATTTGAACAAATATTATAATATAAAAAATTAGAAATTACTTGAAAGAAACAAATAGGCCTAGGACAAATTAAGTTATAATTAAATAAATGGGATTCAGAATGTCAAGAAAAGTGAATAAGATGACTATAATTGTAAATTGTTTTAGTTTAATAATGATATTGGAAAGCTGTTACTTTTAAATTACAAGGAAACTCAGAAGGGAGGGATTTGAGGAAGTCAATCAAGATGTTTAAAAAGTTGGATTTGTGAAGAATTAAGTTTGTTATTATTGTCTATTTGTTTATTGTTCCCCCCTTTCCTCCCTCCCTTTTTTCTTTTTTCTTTTTTTTTCTTTTCTTCTCTTTTTCCTTTTCTGTTTTTGTGTATTAATTTGCTTTGTGGTTTGTGTTATTATGGTGGAAAATTTAATAAAAATTTATTTAAAAAAGAAGAAGACGACACCTTTGCTGTTCTCTTTTCAGTTCCTGCTTAAAACAGAGCAGTCACAATAACAGAAAGGGCTTTTTCAGTAGTGACATACCAGATACCAAATTAAAATTCACTAGAGGAGCTAAGGAAACAGTAGCGGATAAATTGGCCTTTTTCATGCCAGCCAAGAGTAGCTTCACAATCCAAGACTATGGTTATATTTTCCCCCATATGAAGACAAAATAGAGTGAGCATCTGTGATAAGCACCAAGGCACTGGCAGCTGAAATAGGGTCAAAGGAGTGGCAAGATGCAAATTAAGAAATCCTGCTGCAATAAAAACTGCAGAGCAAGAATGCTTCTGCGTAACAATGAGTGCAAGACAAAAGGTTCCCTCTGTAAGACAATGTTAATTGAACACATTTACTAAGCAGACCATTTCATTGTCAGCAGAACCGGTTGTTCAAAGGAGGCCCAGGACAATGGTTAAGACACAGTCATTCCCAATTTCCACAGCACACTCACAAGTTCTCATGAGGTTCCCCCCCCCCACCTTTCTATCCAAATGAGTTAAGAATGTAATTTAGCATATATTGTGGGAAAGATGCAGACTTTCCGAAAAATAATTTGTAGAAAGTGGAAATATTAGCAAAGTATCCTGTTTATGTCCTTTTTCCCGAATGTGCACATCCAACAAGTTAGATAGCCTTCTTTATTGTCATTATGAGTGTGCGTCATTCCATGTCAGTTCAACGCGGTCATGCCACCCACCATCTCGGATTTTGTTGAAACTTGGTGCACACCCTTCCCTTATGGTTGAAAGAAACCCCCTTAATTTTTTCCCCTCTATCTCAAACGGTTTTAATTTTATAGCACTTCAAAGTTTCGTGAAATCTGTGTTTCTGTCCCTCTTGAGATCCTCGGCCTTGTGTGCATTTTATTTTTTTCTCCATAACCAATGATCAGATCTCTTTGAAATTTTATACAGTGATCAATAACATGATGAGGATTTCAGGGGGGAAATACATCAGCACTCAAAAGATTTTATAAATGCCTTTTAAAAATGTATAAATGTAGCTTTTTTGGTGGAAAAACTAGGTTTAGAAAACCTAAATTTTCAGCGTCAGGGCATGATGCAATCAAAAGTTTTTGATGGTGGAAATTATTGCAAAGAACATAAATGTGCCATCAAATCTCATGTGCACCCTAATTTTCGTGGTGTCATTCAACCAAAAAAGGTGTGCATTACCTTCGAGTAAATACAGTATTAAGGGTCTCCTACTCATGCTAGCTTTGCATGACAAATGTTAACTCTTACTCAGAGGATTTTACATTATTTAGATCAGTAATTCTAAAAAGTATGATTCAAGGAACATTTGTTTTAGGCACTTTCAGATGGTCTCCATGCCCACAATGGAAATAATAAAGACTGAAGCATTTCTTTGGAGCTTCCACTGCATGCTGAGGAGACAACTCACTTTTCAATGCAAATTCGAAAATTTACCATGAAAAGTGGTTTGCCTTGTTTGCAGCAAGGAAACAGCCTTTCAAGCATATCCCATATGGTGGCTTTAAGATAAGAGTACAGTATGGGGAGATCTGCAAAGGACAAGCAAGCCAGATAGTGATCCTCAGTGCCATGATGGATTAAATAACGGATTAAATAATGCTACACGGAGCCAGAGTAGCTTTATATAATGTAAGAGTTCCAGCACAAAGCCATAACTACTCTGGCCCTCTCACCTCCATCCGTAAAGAAAATCCAAGAGACAAATGGAAGGGTTACTGCTCTACGAACCACAAGAGGGTATCTCTGACTGCCTGTTGTTCCAAGACAGGCGGTGAATTCACAATCAGCCTGCAACATTCCTGCCTGTTACGCAATTGCATTTTTGCAAGGGTGTGCTAAATATTTAACTCTGAGATGGCTGCTTGGAGCAGTTTCAGAATAACCTTGCCATCTCTCTCCTTGAAGGTTATGAGACCGTTTCAAATCCCCATCACATAGCTATGTTATTTACATGCAGGTCTAATTCCTCCTCAAGCTGTCCAGCCTGTAAGCACAGCATGAAAATGGAAACTGATGAACATCTTCAAAGCACAGAGGAAAGCACAGCAGAAAGGTCAGCTGGCTAAGGCGCATATTCTGCCTAATTGTCTCAACGGTGTACACCTTTCACAGAGGAATTAAAGTTTGGAGTAGGGCTGAGCTATTAACACTATTATCCAAGGCGCATACATGCTGGTTTAATAAACTGCACGTTCATTTTGATGTTCCCCTCCTCCCTTATTTATGATTGATGTGGTTGCATAAAAGTCTGAAAGAACAACCAATTGATAGCGAGAAGTAAGTTTACAACGAGCATATATCCAAACGTATTTATTTTTAAAAGTTCTGCAAAACTTTGCTACTGTAGTCTATCAATATTGTGGTCCAATAAAAGGTCTTGCTTTGAATTGCATCATTTGCAATCAGGAAAACAATATCATTACATTTTTATCCTTTCCACATGGAGCAAGCTGTTGTCTTTCATCCATATTGCAAGCATTTCCGTTCAGCTTGACATCAATGGGATTATTTCACAGGAGCAGCAAGTATTCTGAATGCAAGCAAGTGAACACAAAATGAAAGCCGGACTCCCTTCTCTATGCAGCCCTAACATTACCCCTGGCAATAGGATGTCCTCTAGACAGCAGTGGGGGAATGTTGAGGTTTGTGCAGTTTAATAGACACACCAAGGGGATCTAATATGACCTTAATATTGGGGGGTGGACCATTAATCACATTTATTACTACTTTGCCTTAGGTCAACATAATGTCCTGGGCCCTGGATCTTTTACCTAAAACTATCTGAGAATTCAAAGGGGAAGTAGCCCCATAGTTCAGGGAGCTGCTCCCTATCCCAAAACCCAAGTTCCCCTGCTTTGGACAGCCCCCAAGGCAGAGTTTAATTGCTAGAGCTGGTGGTATCTTTATATTCTTAGATGACAGGTTGTTGTTGTTTTTTTAAAAAAAACTTAACTGGTTGTAACTGTACGCCAAAACATCTGGAGGGCACTAGGTTGACAAAGGAAGACTGCTGTATAGTATTGTAAACCATATTGAAGTGGGTATAATTTTTAACTAAAGGCTCAGGATCCAACCCAACGAAGTTCCAAAGCTTTTGCAAATTTTAATTTTACAAACTAAAAATGAAATAAATCAATCTGGAATTACTGAAACCATGTAAGGTAGTACAGTTATACCGCAGGTGTGGGGCTAAGACCAAGAGACTGTGCCAAACCTAAGGTCATCTACTTAGTTCTTTAGCTAGATAGTTCTTTTTTGAAATCTTTAAACTCATGAAACAGGTTCCCACCCTCCCCTCTCATATTTTCCCATCAAAACAAAAACCCCAAAGAAATAAAGACTACGAGAAAGATGTACAGAACTCTTGATAGGATTCGTAACTGTTGAAAAAAATTGATGGGAAGAGAATCATTTTTTCCCCTGAGCACACAATTTAAAGCATGAACTAATAAAAAGGGAGCCTTGAAAGGCAAACAAGAGCAAGCCCAGCTACCTTTAACAGCCCAAAAAAATTATTATCTTTGTAAACTGAATGATATATAAAACATTTAAAAGGTGGCCTGTTTAGAAAAGCCTTTTTCACTTATTTCCCCCCCAAAGGTTCACTTACAAAGCACCTTAACTTTTTTTCTGACATTGACACAATTAAAAAGTAACCTTTTTACACAATTATGCAAGACACAAGAATGAATAATAAGAAGAATACTGTATTGTGAAAAAAAATGAGGAAAGCAACCCCTAGCCCAAAGACCAGAAGGCTTTTTTCCATTCATACAAACTGGCATATACGCACTGGGAAGATGAAAGTCAGATGAAGAAAACTGAATCCAGTATTTTGGCTGCCACCACCACCCATGAAAACATGCACTACCAGTTCTGTGACCCTAAAGAACAGAAGACCAGCTAGGGGAACAGGGGCTGTTCATTATGGACAAAAAGCACCAGAAAATGAGTCCACCTAGAAAACAGCAACAACCGAGCTAAGACCACTTCCAACACCCTTTCATGCATTCAGTAACCATGCCGAGGAGGCAGTGGGATCATGTCCACAAGTCATACGTACACATACACATACACATACACACAAACCCGTGGCTTCACATTTGTTAGTAATATGAGGCATCTAGACAATTCTACAGAAGCAGGAATCTGGTCAATCAATGGGCAGAAGCTTTAAAAAAATAGTTATGCCTAAACGCCAATGAAAGCAATGACACTGGACTTACAACTAACTTTTCCTGGATTCTGCCCAAAGCCTCATAGCCCTCCAATTCAGTCCTAATTTCCAAGAATGTCTGCATTTTTCATTTCCACCTTAATTAACAGTAGATCCCAGTCCCCTCTAAATTTAAAATCTGTGTTCAGGGTTGTATGATATATACTACAGGACAGGTATGACTAAAAGGGAGAGGGGGGGGTCCCAGTCTGACACAAATATGAAATAGCATTTTTCGTGATCAATTCTTTGACTTTCCGTTCTCTCATATATTATAAAAAGATTCCCATATTTTGGAAGTGAACTGCTAATATAGTCCCCAATAAAGGGAGAATTTAAGGGTTTGTCTTTGTATTTTCATTTTGTGACTGGACCTGGTAATAAAAAGGCTAGATGCAAGTGATGGGTTGAACTAGGACCACATTTTATTTAAAATATATCTGCAGGGGAAATGTGTGGGAACCTAATTTAACTTCAATCATGGGCAAGCCAAAAGGTGCCCATTCCTTTCTGTTGTTGTTGTTAGAGCGTTTATTAATTTTCCAATAAAAAACATCCAATTAACATATCAAATCACAATCCAATAAAAATAAAAAAATCAAATAAATCAAATTGTCTTCCAAATTATAATCTTGATTTTACGACTTCCCACAGTCTGAATCTCGAAGCATATCCAAATCTCAGTCCTGCCTCTCATCTCTCATCAATATTTTCATATTTCCATATCTCGATTTTATCTCTCCAAACTTGTCTCTGGCTCTGCGATCCTCAATCATGTCAGGTGCCCATTCCAAGGGGAATGACAAGGCGAAGCTCCAAAGCCTGGGCCCAACCTTATGGTGAGCAGGGAGGTCTGATTGGCTAACATGCTCCCAGCCCCTCAACTCCAGAGAGCTGTGGAAGTGGAGCCTCAAGAATGTCCCATGTCCAGGCTAAGAGACTCACAACTCAGAGCAGCTGACCTCCAAAAACGCCCTGCACCTTCAACGGGTCCTCACCTTCTCTAACATTCAGCTTTCTTGCACTTTCCTGTGAACAATGTGACCAACTTAACCATGTAGGCCAAATTAACCAAAACAACCCTTTTAACACCACCAACCTCTACACACCCACACCCACTAAATTCAGCACAGACAAGGCAATAAACCCTGCTTACTCCATGTGCAAGAAATGACCCAAAGGGGTGTGGCCAGGCTCATCAAGCCTGCGACCACATCTTCCTTTTTTTTTTTTTGTATATAATTTTTATTAGTTTTTTTTAACATATCATTTTCAACAGTAATTAAACATACTTTTACATCTTATTCAAATTTTTTACTTCCATCAATCCTGTCTGAAAATTTTCCTATCTAATCTCTCAGTATGCATTTCTTATCTTCCGTATTACATTTCAAACTCATAACCAATATCTCTATCTTTTTCTACTTTGTATCACTTTGGATATTTTTCCTTACAAAACTTCTTGTAGTCCTACTAGCGTAATTTGTTGATTACAATTGCTCTTCAAATAATTCATATACTTCTTCCAATCTTCTGTAAATCTCTGGTCCCGCAGGTTTCAAATCCTTCCTGTCATTTTGTCTAATTCTGCATAGTCCATTAATTTCGTCTGCCATTCTTCTTTCGTCGGAATTTCTTCTTGTTTCCATTTCTGGGCTAACAACACTCTTGCCACAGTTGTTGCATATAAAAACAATTTAACATCTTGCCTATTAATGTCCTGACCTATAATACCAAGTAAAAATGCTTCTGGTTTTTTAAAAAATGTATATTTCTTTTTCATCTCATTATATATCATTTCCCAGAAGTTCTTTACTTTTTTACATTCCCAAAAACCGACCACATCTTCCAAACGCAGATGCCAGTATGTGCACATGCGCGCACCAAGCAGCCTTGCCCAGACACACTGTTGTGTGATTGGCAGGACTTAATGGTTTTTAAAGATGCAGTTGTCTTGCAGTCAATCATTCAAATATTTTTGCCCTTCAAGTGCAATTGATTTTGTTCTAACCAATGGCTAAGAAGGGTGTGTGTTTCTGGAGACCGTGCTGCTGACTCTATTCTGTTCCTAAAACAAAGTTTGCTGACACAAACCCCTACTACACAAATGATAGACAATGAAACAAAATAATAATATCCCCATCTTCCCCCCCCCCAACTGCAAGATGTCTATGATGAAAGTGTCTCTCACCAAAAGTAAACGAACTGTGAAAAAGACTATGAACTGAAAGTGGAGACAACAGATGTACCTTTCCCTGTTTATCTGTTTGCTTTGTAACACACACACACACACACACAAACTTTAATAATAAAAAAGCAAAGTTTGAAAACAGACAGTGGACTCATGGAGGAAACACAGAAGAACTTGATGACAGCACTATGTAAAAAAGTGAACAAAATTAAACTATTCCACAGCAAGCAGTCCTAATTATCGAAAATCCCAGGTCATACCTGAAATGATATTAAAAGTCTAGCTTTTAATTTATCGTTATATCCTCTGCTATCTGTCACTTTCACCAGTTATCTCTGGCAACACCATACAACAGCTGACCTGGGGAAAGGAATCAGCTGTTCTGTAAGCTTAATACCATATTATGTGTGGTGTGCTGACTGCAGACTTATTCATTAGGCTGAATTATTATGGTTTCTAAAGTGCTCACATCTCTCACTGGCACTCCAAAAATAACTTTAGATGGCCAATTACATACAGAAGCAGGCATTCTTTTGCAGTAATGCCAATCCTAAGGGGCTGGAAGGATAGATATTGCAGTCAAAGACTTACCTCTCATTCACAGCTGCCTAGAAAGAAATGCCACTATTTTTATTTTTTAAAAAGCAAAACTTGCCCTGTTCCTGCGGCTTTAACAGCAGTCAGACATACACAAAAATGGCCGGAGTATCAAAATAAAATGGTGGAGGGAACTTCACCTGCTTATTTCCACAGTTCTGCTGTTGGGAGGCCCAAAAGCAAGCCCGGTTAAAAACAACAACAAAAACCAGCTAGCAACCTTATTCCATAGCTATTCCCATGAAACACTGACCTGGCCACAAGCAACAGAAGCAGGGGAAGAATATGCACCTATGGGGGTGCCACTAGGGGCGCATTGGAAGATGGCTGACAATAACATCTCTTCAACCCACACGAGGTAATTAAGAGGCTGTGATGGGAGTAAGCAGCCTCCCGACCCCCCCAAGCGAGTGGGGGGGAACTGCCCTAGCCTGCTGTGCCCTATACCACCCCCGAACTCGAGGGGGTGGGGGCACTAGGCAGAAAGCCCTTGTGTGGACCTCAGGTCTCCTGGACGCTGTCTCTGATTCGCACCTCTAGCTGCAGCAACTTCAAAAGAAACAATTAGGAGGAAGCTAATGCACATATTTCAAGGAAGAATGGGGAGTAAAGACTGCTAATTGAAGAGATCTCTGATAAAGAAGATGGGTTGGATAAACAGGAATATATCACGAGAAGACACACCAAGGCTCGGTATGTCGGCAACGGGACTGGATGGGGGGGGGACTTTCCTTTCTTTTCTCTATGTGATTAACCAAGAATCCCCCCCCCACAAGTCAGAAATGCCGCTTAAATGACCTAAGCTGATGATTTAAGACTGTGTGGAGATAATTTTCTAACCAAAAGCGTGTTTTAAGGAGATCGTGGAAAGTATAAGAGCTTTGGGATGACGCAGTAAAAAACAGCGTCGCCATTTTGGCAAGTTCTGTCGAAAGACTTATGTCTGGGAGGAGGAATGGATCTGCTTTCATATTGCGGGTGAGCCTCTTCAGAGGACTAAAAGAAGGCAACAGATTTGCGAAGATTAATGATGTAAAGAGTGCTTTTATTTATGGAAGTGATGATATATGGAAACCATCTCGATATGGTGATTGGATGAACGAAAAAATTCACACAAGATTATAACTGGTGTTTACTTGCTTAAGGAGATTATCAGAAGAGATCATAAAGAAAAAAGAAAAATATATGAATAAGATGAGACGTGGGAACAGCAAGATAGGACTGGATAGAAATATGAACATTATTTGGACAAATTTGTGGATATTAACGCAGCAGTAAGAAGATGATTGGAATCCCCTTCGGAACTTGAAATATGGGTACTCCCAACAAAAAATTTAAAATTCGGCTTTGTAATTCGGAATTTATGTGATGTGATTTGATTTGATTGGTCGGTTAATAAAAATTATTTAAAAAAAAAAAAAAGAATATGCACCTATGTGGATAGCTTAATGTCAGGTCTCTCTCTGGTTTTTCCACAGAGCTTGACAGCTACTGCATTCCTTTCCAGGCAACTTTCCGGGGAAAACGTGACAGAGGAGGCCAGGGCCAGACGCAAAAGTGGTTGGATCAATGAATGGCAATTTTACTCAGTGCTTTTTTTCTTTAAAAAAAGTGTTTAGGGCTACTCTCATTCCATCTGAGACTCAGGAAACACTGACAGGAAATGAGGCCACCAATGGGGGTAGCAATGGAAGTGACGATTCACCATCCTAGAGAAGAAACTAAAAAAAAATAAATAGTTTCTTCTTTCATTAGATTCACAAAATGTTTAGGGTTATGCAAACCCTTGTGTCCCCCCAGAAAAAAAGAACTGATTTTACCCTTGTACAGTAAACTTGTTTGTGTGTGTGTGTGTGCGCGCGCACACACACACACACACACCCTCTGCATCCTTCATCCCTGCAAGCAAGAAACATTATCAGGGTTCAAATACAAATTCCAGCAAAGCAGAAACACTTGAGGAGGGTGCAAAGCAGGGTCAGGTGTGTGTGGCCTAGGAGAGGAGGTGTGGCCTTTGGGAGTCCTGAGGGCCAAATGGTGAGGGCTGCATCCAGCCTCTGAGGTTCCCTATCCTTGCTTTATTTATATAGCTCAACCATGTATGTGTGTGTTCATATGTATATTGCACTATAATACTTCTCCCTGTGGATGGACAACTAGAGTGACACCCCCCCAACACACACAGCACACACACACAAACGTTGAGGACTTAGGCTAGAATGTAGGAGATAAATTCATGAACAAAGGAACTCTAGACACCGCATAGATGTTAAGGTTGTTGCCTGGAATCAGTCCCCTCTTCACCTCCTGAGAGTAGATCCTAACAATGAGCATGCAGAAAGATAAATACAGTTTACATGGGTTTAATCTAAACGGCTTTGGTCCTGTATACCTGAAGGAGCGTCTCCACCCCCATCGTTCAGCCTGGACACTGAGGTCCAGCTCTAAGAGCCTTCTGGCAGTTCCCTCACTGCAAGAAGTGAGGTTACAGGGAACCAGGCAGAGGGGCTTCTCGGCAGTGACGCCCTCCCATCAGATGTCAAGGAAACAAACAACCCATCTGACTATTAGAAGACATCTGAAGGCAACCCTGTTTAGGGAAGTTTTTAATGTCTAATTTTTACATTTTTTTAATATGCTGTAAGCCACTCAGAGTGGCTGGGGAAACCCAGCAAGATGGGTGGGGTATAAATAATAAAGTTGTTGTTGATGTTGTTTTTATCTAGCGATCTTTAGTTTGCTCCCTATTGAGTTTAAGGTTGCCAGAAGCCGAGAGCTCACCAACACATTCTGCTGACCACCTTCGTGCACAACTCTCTTCCCCACTCCAACAACTCAGGTTACCTACGTGTTGCAGAACACCCAAGTTTGCTAACAGCTTTGTCACTTTTGTGCTGGAGAACGCAGGCATCATGTCGCTCAATGGAGTAAAAATAGTATGTAACAATTAAACAAAGTGTTGCTAACTGCAAGGTCAGAGCACTGCTCTTCACTGCATGAGGAGGCCACAGCGCCTCAAGGGAAAGCCATCTGTGAGGTTTTGCAAATACGCTTCTTTGTAAAATGGGAAGCAACAGTTTAGGGCATTCCGTATACCCTTCATAGAGACAGACTAATTATTAATGGCAGTTTACGGCATGGGAAGGGCGCAGAAAGCAAGAAATGGCCTGAATCAAATGTAAATGTCTGGATATTTTTTTTAAACAACTTTTTTAGCATATGTATTGGGAGAGGGTTCCCTACTCCCTTTGTTGCAGCCTGTTTTCCTTGCAGCTATTTATACCCAAGTCGCAATGTGACACACATGGTTGCAACACAAACATTTGTGCAACCTGCCAGTTGATGTGGAAACGCTGATGGGCTCATTTCAGCTACGAATACAACCTTTAGGCCTTTCTGACTGCATAAACAAGGTCTGAAAAGGCAATGGCAAGAAATAAGCTGGGATCTTTTGTGGGGAAAGTAAGTGACTAGGTATAAGAACTGGGTTGCCAAGTCTGAGTCTGACCTGACATTTCTGTGTTTTCTACTCCTCAGGGGCCGTCCAGAAGAATTTAAGATGGGGGAAAAGTTATTTTCTGCTTGGCTCAGTAAGAGCTTTTTGCTATTAGCTCAGTTCCCATGTCAATCAGGTTCTGCTCTGTGACCCATGGAGAGCAGCTAGGCTCCCCACTTCATCCGCCAAACTCTTCTTCCCTGATCTACGTTTCTGAGCACAATTCAAAGTGCTGGTGCTGACCTTTAAATCCCTAAATGGCCTCGGTCCAGTATACCTGAAGGAGCATCTCCACCCGCATCGTTCTGCCCGGACACTGAGGTCCAGCACCGAGGGCTTTCTGGTGGCTCCCTCACTGCGAGAAGCCAAGTTACAGGGAACCAGGCAGAGGGCCTTCTCGGTAGTGGCGCCTGCCCTGTCAAACGCCCTCCCACCAGATGTCAAAGGAAAAAACAACTACCAGACTTTTAGGAGACATGTGAAGGCAGCCCTGTTTAGGGAAACTTTTAATATCTGAAGGACTATTGTATTTTAATATTTTGTTGAAAGCCACCCAGAGTGGCGGGGTATAAATAATATATTATTATTATTATTATTATTATTATTATTATTATCATCATCATCATCTACAATGCCACGCCCTTTATGTTCCAGGCTACACCCTCTCATCTCAGGAACGGAGGTTCCAGAAATCCCAAACTTTGAAACTCATTTCTCAATCTCTGTGTAGCAAAACACTGCAAGGGCTAAAATGTTTGCAAGCAATGATATCGTCAAAATAGTTTATCATGTCCACCAAGCTGTAAATTGGAATCTATTCTGCTTTAAGATTGGCTCTGGGTGGTGTACCATGGCAAGAAGAATGCCAATAAGAGCAATAAACATCACCACACAAATAATAAAGTGACATTATAAAAAATAACTGCAGCAGTCAAAGCAATGCCATTCAGCACCAATGAATTTTAGAATAAAAAGCAAAATAAAAAAAAGTATTTACCTGGCATCAGAAGCTATAAAGTGATATAACCTAACAAGCTTTTCTTTCCTTGACAGTTTACTATTTGCAAGCTACTTAGAGTCCCCCAACCCCAGTATTGCTATTGTTACAGTTTATTTATTTATATTTATATGCCACATTTAGGAAAAACAGGCTTCCAACACACAAACACGTAATTTAAGCACAAAGAAACACAGTTTACAAAAAATTAAGACAACAAAATCTTTTTCTTTTCAAAAAAGTGTTAGAAGCCAGATACAATCTTGCTGAAACAAACAAACAAAGACAATTGTTACATTTCAACCAAAAATGTGCACGCCAGGCTTATTCCTTGACATGCTAGTTTTCCACACACAGGGATTTATTTATTTTTATCAACCTGCAATTTCAAATGATACAGCTGGGGCATGTTTACCATTTCCATGAGAACTAAGCCAAAGCTTTGAGATGAGAATGGATCTAAAAACCACCCAACACATTAAACTAAATTGAACTGATGACAGGCCGTGGAAAGCCTTGCTTGTATATTGTTGTTTCAAATTATTTACCCAAAACATCCTATTGAGGCAAGCTCTTAAAATATCCTTCTAATACAGATGGTCCAATGAATACTGCCGACATTTATCTGTTAAAATAAACACAAAAAAGTCTTCGTTTTTAAAGGAACAGTTCAGCTTTTACCATTTTGGTGCTATCCATGACCTTGCATCAACAGTCATTCTTGTTTTTTGCATTCATGGGTCTTTTCTCCCATTTTAAACAGACTTTCATTAATTTATGTCGGAAGCTACAAGTTTTTTCTTTCTCTTTGCTGTTTCATCCTCTTGTAAAGGAGGACATTGTGCCAAATGGAAGTTACTGAAGTGCACCTGTGAATGGACTGAATGGAGCTTTTTTTTTGCTTTTGCTTTTTAACAATGAAGAACAACAGGAGAAAATGAGTTCCACGGCTGATTTTCAAATAGGAGGGGTTTTTTTTATAGTCAGGAGATTGTCTTGATGACACACCTTGCTTTTAACTGATTAATGAACCAATTATTGTCAGGGCTGCAGTATTTCAGTTCAGAGTATATTTAATTAAAAGCTGATTAATCTCTTGATTAAATAATGTAGGGAAAGTATTTCTCTTTTGAAAAAAAAATCTTAAAAGCTTTTGCCCAAGTCACAAGACCAGGATATTATTATCTGATTAGAACTATATTAAGCTGAACGTGCCTCTAGCCCACTTTTACAGTGAAATCCAACTATTCAGATGTGAGACCCATGGAGTTCGGGTAGGCGTGTATAGCAGGAATGGGGAAGCGATGACCCTCTAGATATTGCAGGACTCTAGTTTCCGTCATCCCTCACCCATTGACCATGCTGGCCAAGGCTGATGCGAGTCCAGCAACATTTGGAGGACCAGAAATTCCCCACGCCTGGTGTACAGAACTGCAATCTCAACTGGGTCCCCCACCCAAAAAAGTTTGCTTTTCTTCATCTCTCTAGGGTGGCAATCTATAAAGGAAAATATGGTCCCTCCCAAACCACTATGGGTTATATCCGGCTAAATTCTAGACATTAGTTAAGTAGTAATAAATAATAATAATAATAATTTTTATTTATACCCCCTCTCCCCGGCCAAGACCGGGCTCAGGGCGGCTAACACTGAATATAAATACAGTAAAAACATTAAAAACAAAACAAACAGTTGATTAAAATATAAGTTGGAATACAGCTTAAAATGCAGCTTAAAATGCTGCCTCGTTTTAGTGGTAGCCTATAGATCAAAGCCATAAGGGGAGAAAACGTCAAATATTCACCAGGGCCAACTATCCACGCTGGTCCTACATGGGCCAGCAAAAAGAGCCGAGGAAAAATTTATATACAAAATCCCATTTGAGGGGTTCCATTAAAAAAAATAAAAAATGAGAGGGGGAGTTAGACTGAGTCCAGCCCAAAGGCCAGACGGAACAGCTCCATCTTGCAGGCCCTGCAGAAAGATGTCAAATCCCGCAGGGTCCTGATCTCCTGCGGTAGGGCGTTCCACCAGGCCGGGGCCAGAGCTGAAAAGGCCCTGGCCCTGGTTGAGGCCAATCTAACCTCCTTGGGGCTCGGGACTTCCAAAGTGTTGTTATTTATGGACCTTAAGGTCCTCTGCGGGGCATACTAGGAGAGGCAGTCCCGTAGGTACGGGAAGTCTTTTAATTTCAGCAAGTCTGTTCTGAGTATGTCTAACATTGAATGCAATCCTATGCAGCTGGGTAAAGAAGATTCTCAGCAGGTACATGATAAAATTTGATTGCTGTAAAGAAGCATGTATAACTTTAAAATCTTGAACCTACATTCCATATTTCCATACTTGTGTTAATTGCCGATTTCTATAGCCGAAGCTTGAAAGATGCCTGTCTCACCTTTTATTTAAGACTTTCAAGGAAGGGATTTCACAGGCTTCCTTGGCAACCCATTCCAGTGCTGAACTGTTCTATAATTAGACAGCTGCATCTTCTTGTAGTCATTTCTATTATGCACTAGGTTTCCTAACGGCAGGACAGAAACAGCGAGGAAGGCTGCCTATGGATGGCCTGCTGTTGAAGCCTGCAAAAAGTCTGTCTAGTTCAGCAGCGGACAAACAGATGCTTTTGGGAATCCCACTGGCAGCACGTGAAAGCATAAGACAATGTTTATATTTATAAGAATGTTACAAAACTGCCAACTCAATATAAAAAAATGGCAGTGTACAATAAAATGAGTAAAAAATTCATAAAATCATAAAATAGAGAACAAATGACCAGCAATGCATCGCATTAAAACTGCTTAGCAAAAGAAACATGTTTCCAGCAGGTGACAAAATAACAAAGTTGTAGGAAGCCTGTCTTATATAGGAACTAGTACAGTATTCCAAATTACTGGTGCCACTACACTGATAAACCTTGGCTCCCATAGAAACTATAAAAGAATATAAGCTCACAGTGGGACATTCAAGAGGGATTCTCCAGGTGATCACAGTGATCTGGCCAGTGTATAAAGGACAAGGTGGTCCTTCAGATAATGCCTGTGGCACAGCCATAGTCTTCAAGGAACAATTCAGATCCTTTTGCAACGTAGGATTTACCATGTGACCAAGGACAAAAGCTGCCACAAGAACAAAACTATTTTTTTTAATGGAACGACATTCTTTTGCAATTTGGACTCTAGAGGGAGTCATTTGCTATAGATGTTGAACTGGTAATGGAGACTTGCAACAGAAAGGTGTGTTTTTCCCATTCCTTTTTTTTAATCACAATTCTTTTTTACAAAAATATTAAAAAGGTTTTCTTAAAAAAAGGAGGATTTGGACTTGATGCTTTGGTTTCTGCTGACACCCCATTTCAAATGTTCCTACTACCACCTTCTTAAGTAGCGTTTTAAAAATGTCTTGAGAGTTTGGTCTTACTGCAGCCATCTTTTTCCAGCTTGATTTAGATAAGCGGAGTTTTTGCATGCACAGCAAAAACTGTAGTATAGTGTAGTGTAGTGTACTGTAGTGGCAGCAGTAATTTGGAATACTGTACTAGTTCCTATTGAAATCAGAGAGGCTCCCTACAATTTTGTTACTTTGTCACCTGATGGAAATATGTTTCTTTTGCTAAGGAGTTTTAACGAGATGCAATACTGGTCATTTGTTCTCTACTTTATGATTTTTTTTTACTCATTTTATTGTGAAAATATGCAGTAGTAAGGAAAGGGTGAAATCATGAGAGAGCTTTGCACATTGTGGCCCTGGTTAAAAATAAAAGACAGAACACTGTAACCAATTAAAGATTATCATAGCATGTTGCATGCTATAACTTTGTGGCAAAATGCAAGAACATAAGAAAAGTTTGGTTGGATCGTTCTAAGGAATCCTCAAGTCCAGCATCTTGTTCGAACGGTGACTAACCAAATATTTCCAGGAAACTCAGAAACAGAGCACAAATCAAGTCAGATGGGTTGAGTGCAAATAATAAAATAAAATAACAATAAGCAACAGCCCTTCCTCACTCTTTGACATCCACATTTGATATTCTCTGAACACAGAGCTTCCATTCAGCTCTCATGGTTAATAGTCATCAATAGAACTTTGCTTCTAGAATTTGCCTATTCCCCACCCCCTTTTAAAAATCACCTAAGTCACCCTTTCCTGGCCAAATGTTCTCCAGATGTTGTCAGACTCCCAATTTCCATCAGTCCCATCATGGTCAGTGTTCTGGGATTATGGGAGTTAGAATCCAACAATACTTGGAAGGCTGATCTAAGCCATGGTCACAGCCTATGGAAGCCAATTAGGTGAGTCAGGTGTGCATCATTTTTGGTCCCGATAAAATCATCTTAAATGGTAAATGATACCACCAAGGGTAGGATCATGACTGGGGAGGGGCAAACAGAAATACAATCCCTTCCAGGAACTTGCCAGGGCGCTGGGTAACTTACTCACTGCATCTATGGGGTGTGACCTTTCACAGAGCCAGATTCTCATTATAACATAACTGTGAGGTCCATGGGATCTGCAGAAAAGGAGCAGCTCTCTTACAGCCTTGCTACTTCCTGAGCCTCTTCACAACTGGGGGGGGGGTTCCCCTCAGTCTTGTTTGGTCTCTTAAGTCAAAGCCATGTATGATACCCCTTCCCCATCAATCCTCAGGAGAAAGGCAGGGCCAGTGGAAAAAATAAATTTAGCTTGGCTGCCAAGGACAGCCCAAATGTGTGGGCCCCTGGTATGTACAGTTATATAAATCATCCACTATGCTATCCTGAAATGACATCATGTGGATGGATGTACTATGTATGATTAATAGATGAGATTGGTACAATAAGTCGTTCATTGCATCTTTCTAGCTTTATATCTCTGTTTCACAACATAACATCCTGAAATGACAATACTGAATCAGTTTATGATTCATCTAGTTTTATTTATCTACATGGCCTCTCTTATCTTTTTATTTCTTTCTTTTAAATTCAAACACAGTTGGATAGGTTTTCAAATCCTGGCATTCGTCAGGTGCATAAAAATCCAGACCATCCCATAAAATTTGAGGCAGATGGCACTACTGAAGGTCTGGTAGCACTTTGGTTTTGATTTCGTAAGAGAATGGAGAAGGCACACACACACACACAACCCAAACCCAAGATGTGCCAAAAATATATTTCTGCTTCATCATCCTCAGAATTATGCTTGCATAGACCTCCTACAAGCCCAAAATCAATTTCCAAAAATGCACCATAGGTTTGGCAATAATATTGGTGCAGAAGCAAAAACAGGAAGGGGAAGAAACAGAGAGAGAGAGAGAGAGAGAGATGGAGAGAGAGAGAGATGGTGGATTAAAGGAAGCTGCAGTTACCATAGAAACCAATGAGACCAACTCAGCACTGTGTACTTTGTAGCATCATCATTCTGTGGCTGATGAACCCCAACGGGAAGCATTGTTCCTGTCCCTATGGAAACCTAGGGAACAGCCCACACTGTAGTCACGGGAGATTAAAGCAAACTGGAGCAAATATCTTCCAATTCAGCTATGAGCAATCTCCCCTACTGAGAGCTACCACCGATTTACACACACACACACACACACACACACACACACACACACACAGAAAAAGAACATAAACCAGGGACATCAATAACAGACCCAAGCCGAGCAAAGGTGTTCGGTCTACAAATTAATTTTAAGGAAAGAAGAAGTGTTTGCAGGCAGCTTAACACATGTGAACACCTAGGAAGCGGATTTATGGCTGCACCTAATCCCCATGGCAACCCACGAGGAAGTTTAAAGCTCAAAATAAACTGCTCCGCAAAATGACTTTTTTTTTCTAATACAAACCACTACCTACCATTCGATAATTAGCATCCATTTCATCCACTGTCCCCCCAGGTGATTATATTTCAAACTAGGAGCTCCTTAGCTAATTATTGCACTAGTAGAGACCCTGAGCTAGTATGCCCAACAGAGACTGTAGCTTCCTACTTTCCTCCTGCCAGGGTAGAGCTTCGAGTGTGTGGAGCAAGAAGAGACAGGAAGAAAAGCAGGAAAGGGGCGGGTCTTGCTCTACTTCAAAAGCTACTGTGGTGGAGTGTGTTAAAAATAATAGTTTACAAGTAAGTAAATGTTTGCCAAAATCAGTGCATATTGTACAGTTGGTTGCTACAGTTCTGCTCCCCAGTAAACCCTTCTCTACCACCATGTAATATGTCATGCCACAATCAGCTCTTAATTATGCCAAGGATACCATCCCAGGAATGCCAATGTGCAGGCATATTAATTCATTGTTTAGTGATGCTGACCAAGTTCACAATTATGGCCAACACAGTTGGGAAATCTCTGCTATAAGGGAGGCCCAGGCTCATTCAAGACAAGCTCCATCTCAAAAGGGGGTTCACCCCCAACCTCTATCACTGCTCCTGCTACATCTTTCCACATTTGCAAGCAACCCCACCTCAAAGCTTCTGTGATGGAGGGAAGGTAACAGGGGGCACCAATGCTCACTAGCTGGGTCTGGCAAACTTTGCCTCTTAGAACCTGCTCACTGTCGGAGGTTACAAAGCTGACCATGTGGTGAATACGTTTTTTTGCAAACGTTCTAGCTCAACGCTCAAAAGAACCAGGTGGATTTCAAGGGAAGTAGGGCCAGGGATTGTTGGCAACGCATGGCAGGAATCACGTAAAACTAGAGCGCTAACAGGGCAGGGCACAGGGAGGCGCTGGCGAGCTCCACCCTCAGAGCCATGTGACTTCCAGGATTCTCAGGTGATCGCAGTGAACTTCTGCAGCCGAAACCTTAGACATATACTGAGAACCCTGGAAGATGGTTCAGGCACAGTCCGTTGCAATCTATCCCACATAACACAAAAATATATGTAAAGCCCATGGCAGTGAGCAAAGTTATAGTGCATAAAACATATGTACGAAATGTTAAAATATATTCTTTCCAACCATCAAATTAGGTGGTGGAGGGGAGCATCTCAAATGTTGTTTTCTTTTAACAGCGTTATTTTCGAAGTGTTCAGGATTAATTTAGAACCGAATTAGCTTTCACAAACTGTTCCTGGTTTTGACAGCTGCCCAGGCAAAGGATGTCACATTTTAAATAATTTTCACACATTGAGCTGCTGACAAGTTTTCTAATTTTTGTAACATGGAAATGAAAGAGAATAGGGATGGACGGATATCCTCAGTTTCCCTTTCCCCCCTCCCATTCTGGTCCCATGGTTTGCTTCTGACCCATGTTCTGGTTCTGCCTGCCTGCCTGCCTTAACTTAGAAAGAAATTGAATTAATTTTGGAACTGGTGCGTGCACAGACTGGTGCAGTTTTCAGTTTGCAGGTGATCCAAGACATGCAAGCACAATCAAAGAAATTGTGAGGCTTTCAAGGTTCCTTTTTGCAAAGGGCTTTCATGAATGTGTACCTACGTTCCTGTGGCTTTAGTAACCAGCAGGGAAACCAAAACTTATGCTGCACATGTGCAGCACTCTGAGCCAACACAAAATCAGAAATGAAGAATGGTGCGTAAAGGATATAAAAACAGCTCGATTTTGTGGATGCAGACTGAGCTAGCATAGGTTTGGAGATGGATACTAGGCTCTCCAACTTGACCTGGGTATACTAACAGACCTTCCAAGTGTCCCTATTTTCCAGGAAAAGTCCTAGATTTACAGAAGCCATCCCAGTTTCCAATTTGTTCCCAGAATGTCCCATATAATCAGAATGTACATTCCTATTATTATTATAGTTGGTCCTTCTGGATTCAGTGACACTGACTCCTTATTGGGCATAAGTGGGCATCGGACTGCAGCCTTACAAAGTTTTCTTTTCTATGGAAAAGAAACTCCTTGACTGGACTTGATATAAAGAGATCTGGTAACTTTTGGTTTCTTCTAGCATTTACGAATGCAACTGGTTATTTGTTTCACAGATGGAGAAATGTCTTAGCTCACTCCATGAGAACTCCTTTCACAGCTAGCTATCGAGAAGGTAGGCAGATCTCACTAGCTGCCAAATATGTGCTGCTATCCAAACCAACCCTTTCACACTTTGATTGGTGAAGGTAGGAACCCATTTCATGAAGAATAAGATGAGAGCCATACTAAACTGAACAATATGCAAAAAACGACAAAAACAACAGAGAAAGGGTCCTGAAACTATTAGCCTTTGAAGCTCTTGCCCTTTTACAACGAGTCTTATTGAACATATGGTACTGCCTTAAATGGGTGAGACCATTGGCCCATCCTGCCAAGAACTGTCTACTTGGCAGCAAGTCTCTAAGGCCTCAGGCAAGGGACTTCCTTAACCCAAAAGGCCAAGGACTCAATCTGGAAAGTTGTGCAGGCAGAGCTCTGGGCTGCACAATTGAGAGACTGACCACCCTCATTGGAGCCCCTTTCCAAGGAAATAACTGATCATATGAGAATGAAAAAAGGGTGATTTGAAGAAAGAACTATTAATGAAGTCCTGTTTTTAAGATCAATTTTCACACCACACCTTAATAACTTTTTTTTCTTTGCTTAGCAAATAAATCTAGGCGGCAGTTGCACAACAGCTTTCTTTGCGTGAGCACGCCAAACCAAAAATCAATTGCTACTATTTCTTCTCCCTCAACACCAGTGTTCAGTGAACCACTTCCTAAAGGTTATTTAATTGTGAATCTGGAAGATTGATTTTGATTTAAACTGTGGCCTACAGTATGAAAAGGTACTGTAATTTCTTCATCTGTCACTCTGGCTGATCTAATTTTGATCTGCAACTGACCTACAAAAAGCCATAATCTTTTACTCAATAAAACAGAATTTTCTGCAGTTGGCTTTCAAGGGGAAATGATCAGACCTTTCAGGAATACACGGCGTGCTATGTCACTAAGAAGCAGAGGCGGGTAAATATCTTTAAAAGATTTTCAATAACTATGCCCTCAGTTTCAGCTGGGATTTTACTTAAAAGAGCCACAACCCATAAATTCACTGGCAGAAATATCCACAGAAACGTTGGATGAAAAATGCTACCTAAAAGTAAGCTGCATTCCTAAACTGACAGGAAAACAATGTGTGGTTAAGTACATTTTCTTCCTATCTTTTTCAATTATATTGCATATTAATAAAGCAAAATATGCACATTTAGTTTTGCTTTGCCATAAAGCAACCAAACCCAAATGTTGATCCAATTTTTAAAAAACAACAATTCCTAACTACCTGTGCAAATGTCAATATACTGTACCCACTTTTAGTGAACCATTGCAACAGACAAAACCATGAAAGGCAGAATATTCATATTGGCCATATATATTCTATCAAAAAAGAAAGAAAACCAAAACCACATTTGCCATCTCATCTTTTCTTTTCATAGAGCTAGGCTGTTTTTAAACAGATCCTTGTCGACTTGTGTGGCGAAGATATTGACATGCCTTTTTGGGGTGTTTGTTCACAAAAAAATTCTAGTTACATCTAGTGTTTGTTGTTTGTTAGACTAAATCCCATTACTTTTAATTTATCCAAACTAAATTTACAATCTGGCAACGTGTATAGAGACCAATAAACTTATTACATCCTTTGACTGTTCCTGATATATAAAATTTTAAAAATAAAACCATGTTACCTGCATGGTGTTTAAGCTTATATCAATATAGAGCCAACTGGATTCCTTATATGTACAGAACACACTGTTCTATACATGGTTCAAAATGGCTCCATAACACTTGCAAACAATTCTTTAAAAATAATGATAAATTAATGGTGTGGGTGTATGAAACTTAATGATAAAACCTGTTAAAAGTCCACAGTAATGATACTTCCATAATATAAGCACTTTGGACTCAAATCTAACAATACTAGCTCTAAATCTCAATTAAATCTAGGCAATTAACCCAAATTAGCCTGTTGGCTGCAGTGTGTCCTAGCAGGCAGCCTACCTAAATTCATTTTGCATAACAAACCAGCCTTGTTCCCACAGGGCCTGGATCCAAATTACTTACACCCAAATAAGGGAAATCTTTCCCCTGGAGGCGAAGAGCTCAGAACCAGGCTCAAGGGAGGCAAAAATGTTCCACATTTTTAATTTCCTAATAGAACTAGCCCTCTTTCCGTTCACAAGGTTCCGTCGAACCAAGTCTTACTTAGACCAACTGGAATCAATAGACTTAAGTAATGAGGTTTATTATTTCAGTGGGTCTACTGTAAGTATGATTAATGTTGGATATTGCCGACCATTTAACAACTCTACAGGGATAACAGTTATCTAGAGTACTGAATACAAGAAACTTTTGGAGCTTTTGTGGCACAAATGCACCATTATGGGGAAGACTTGCTGTGCCTGGAAGTGGGTGCAAAATTATGACAAAAACGATGCCTATATCGAGTATCAGAACCTCCCCGACATTAGTAGTTAATTTTCATAACCTTAGGTGTCAGAAACAATACATTTCCCTTCAACAGGAACAAACCTGTCCTCCTTTAACTTCCTGTGCAAAAATTAAGTCTACCAGGATCCTGTGGAAAGGAAAGGGTTTTCTGAAGACAGTTTGTCACATAATATGGCACCCTGATACATTTACTTGGAAGATGCATCTCATTTCTCTTATTTGAACTAACTCTCAAATACATAGGTTTAGGAACCAAGAGCTAGAGTGGATGCACATGGCCAACCTTTTCACCTAATTACTTTAAATATCAAGGAATAGCCTGGTTGCCTGTCCTCATGAGGCCATTTTCTGCATGTATCAGCAAGCAGACACCAAAGAGAGAAAGTGTTGTTCATGTGAAAATTACCATATTGTTAAATGGGGGGTATTGGCTAGCCCTCTGAAAAAAGTAGATGGAAAATCTGAAGAAAGCATAGGGAAACTCACAAGGACTCTGCCAGTTAAGGTCTGGGCTGAAATCATCACCCCTGCCCAGTCTTTAACAGAGGTCATCCAGCCCACTTCTGCTGCCACAACTTCTTCTTTCTCGTCTGTGGGTTTCAAGTCCCCATCTGCCTGGGTCTCCCCATTGCTGGTTATCTTCTGGACCTCCTGTAAAATTGAGAGAAAGAGATGAACAGTTAGAATGGCAGGGGTTAAACTGCAACAGAGTACCAGATAAACACATCATCTCTGTTTGCGGTCTCCCAGTTCAGTGCATTAGAAGCTAAAAAGATACTACTGACAATTAATGTCTCTGTGTAAAGTTACCCAATGCCTTTATATCCTCTTTACTGGGGATTCCCCCTTCCCTGTTGTTTGTCTATTTTATAAATAATGCTTGTATTTTGGTAAAGTAATAATATAAGTTATCACACACACACACACACACACACACACACACACGACAGTTATCACCACAACACACGGTGAGTGGGGAAATTATGTTCTTCTGTCAAATGGAAAACTGGCCTGCCTTCTATGGGATACACAAATAAGAATATTCCTGTTAACGGCAAGTGCTTACTTTCTTACAAGAAAGAAAGAAAGAAAGAAAGAAAGAAGCCCAAGTCAAGCCATCAAAAAGCCAACTCTGGTACAGCACACTTTCAGTCATGGCAAGTTCAGAAATGCAACCACAAGCAGCACTGTGATAGGGGCAGGGAGGAGATGATGGCAGGACCTGTTGTCTGAATAGTGCATCAGTACTAAAGTGTTGGTCCTAGCAGGGAGGGAGATGTCATTTGGGATGTGCTTCAGGCACTGTCTAGGCCTGGCACTGCTTTCAACTTTGAGTTCTGCCCATTCTGCGAAATGATGATGAGTTATGGGCAACGTAAGGTGACCCCCACCTAAAAACTCCCCTGGTTGGCATTTCTCTTTCCCAAGCTCTATGCAAATACAGTGAGTGGTGTTTTTCAAAAGTTGCTAGGGAGATGCAGTAGGTATTTTTGACACCACAGGAGCCAGTTTCCTCTCTCTGTTCTCATATGCAATGTAGCTGGCACCTGGAATGTCGGCAATCTCAATACAGACTCGTATTTGTACGGTCCTGTACGTAAACCTCAATGCAAAGTATGCACACAGACAAAATTAACCTACGATGCAACACACAGTGAATGCTCACGATAGTCAGGTGTTGTTTTAATTTATGGTTTCCTGAATGAGTTTTCCAAGGAAGCTCACACTGGGAGAGTGCGTGGAACCTTAAACACCAAACAGAATGGGAATGCAGAGCTGCCAATCTTCCAGCAAGCTGCCGGGTTGCCAAGGAGCCACTCTGAAAACGGAGCTGCGTGATTAATCCGAGGAACTCCTCTCTGGCTGTAAGCACTGTCCCTCACTGAGTCACCAGAGGAAGGGAGGAAGAAGCAAATTAAGAGGAGGCATTCTTGCTGTGCTATGCCGGCTGAATCACCACTGACCCCTGCCATTCACAGCCAGCCCTCCTCGCGGGGCGCTGCTGCAAGGACACTGCATCGCCACACCCAAGTTCGATATGCTTCAATCATGAACAGCACAAAATATGTTGGGGGGGGAGATGTTGGGGGTTGGACCCACCCAAATACTGTAGCTTGTTTGTTCAGGTCAGTAAGAGACGTTCAGCTCCCAATGCTGTTTTTAACACTCTTTATTGCTTCCTGAAGATTTCCACAAGACAAGGATGCAGAAAAAGCCGCAACTCGAAGGAATCTCCCACTGCGTTGGTGACAAAACAGCAGTAATATTTATTAACTATCCTAGCATAGTAAACATTTGAGTTGCCTGGTGTAAGTAAGCAGCATCCCTCAACCCCTGTAGATGTCCCCAAGGGCTGTAGGAAGCTCTGGATCTCACCAGAGGTTTCAGAGCATGGAACAGCAAGCCATAGCTTCATTCCTGTCACATCCTCCACAGATAAATCAATATTGCATCCACTGAAATGTTACTGACTTCTCCATATTTAAATTTTACATTGCAAGTTTCAAAACACTAATATTTCAGATTTTGAAGTTTTATTGACATTTTATTCACAGTTGGAATCCTTCCCAAACTTTCCCCCCAAATGGGGGGGGGGGATATATCCAGAATATTAGAGTGAAAACAAATACGGTACACATTCTGTGGATGGATGAAATCTATGCATTCTAAGCATGGTAAGATTTGGTTTGAACAAGCATTTTCTGCCTTTAAAATGCCTGATTGCTTGATTGACTGATTGATAGAGAGATTGATTTTCTATGTTGATTCCCATTCAACTAAATCCCAAAGCAGCTTGCAAACAATGAATAACAAGCAATTAATGGCTCAGAATGCAGCAAATGTGTATTCAAATTTAGATTTAGAACAAATTTATGATTCAGAATGATTGCTCATGTTCACATTCCATTGTGAAATATGAATGGCAGCATCTGACTGATAAAGTGAAATATACCATCATTTGCACTGTGGTCAAAGCAGATTTCTGCCATACAGAGTAAATGAATTATAACTCAATTCAAAACTCTGTGTGCACGCACGCACACACGCATGCATGCACAAATCAACATCTGTGGCAAGGATAAAAGTCATGCTTCCTTTTCAATTATGTATAGCCTTTATTATATGATAAATATAGTTCTGA